CTTCCTCTTAGGTGAATTAAGGCAAAAATATATGTGAGAAGACTTTAACATATCCCATATTATAGTTACAATTAATTAGATCTTAACAGAGAAAGCAGAAGACATAGAATCTAAGAGGAAAGATAATGTTTGACACATCGAGTAGAACAATAAGAGAAATCTATTACTAGGCTATGAAGGTGCTTAGAATTACTACATTTTACTCTGAACATTTTATTCTTAGAATTACCACATTTTGCAAGCTCAACTGATAGCACATAGGGGGTCAATGAGGTCAGCACAGTGATACTTGGAGGATCCTACAAAGTATGGCCACCAAATTGGGATTTGTGAGATGAGAAATGGTGACTCAGACTGAATGCAATATACGGTCATAGGCCAGTAAAATGAGAGGTGAGAAGAGAAAGTGTTATGAAATTACCCTGGGCAAGATCTTTCTGCCTCTCCAAGATTAACAGGACGTATTTCACAAGAGATGTCTCAAGGGGCTTTACCAATGATTTATTTAAATTTAAAGTGATAAGCTACAATTAAATAAGCATTGTATGTCCATATTAGATCTGCTCTAATGAGCAAGTCAGATTCTGCTTTCATGATCAAAACTGCCTTTCCTGGCAGCCTCTCCTTGCCAGTCTGTCCTGCCCAGGGGAAGACTCAGACTGAGGACAAACATGCCTGCAAGAGCAACCTGGGAAGAGCTGTGACCAGCTCAAAGTCGTTGGAGGCAGCAGAGGTAGGTGCTGTAGAAAGGGAGAACTGATCTCAAAGAAATTGAAACTTCTCCACCCCCTCTAGAGCCCTGCTACAGAGAAGAGGGGGCTGGGCACGTGTGATGAGCGAGGCCGAGAACCCGCGAGGGCTGCCCAGGCCTCAGGCCGCCGCACTCGGTGGTTTCCTAAAGCTGCTGCACATTTCTATCTATTGGCGAAGCATCTGTCTGTTTGACTTGCTGACTAGATAAGGAACAAAAGCAGGTGCCCTAAAGGCAGGCACCGAGGTGAATTTCTAAGCATCGCCAGAACCTTCCGTGTGGCTTTGTTCAAATGTTTGCTCTGGATGTTGGTGGCATTCTTGGTTAGGTAAATAAGTATGTCCAGTCACAGAATCTAGAAGCTCAAAAGCAACCTCTGATCTCTAACAATTGAACAGTAGATTCTTTGCCTTGGCTAACATGGAGTAGATCCCTTCTGTAGGAGGAATAAGTTTAAAATCCGTACACAAATTCACGTATCATCTACGTTTATCAACAGGCATTCATGTGGTTGGAAAGCACGACAGGGGGGGGGGGGGGGTAGAGCAGACCTAGCTTGCCTAGCACTTACAGTGCTTCCATCCCCAACACCACAAACACAAACAAATGAAAACACACAGGAAGCTGCAGCAAAGTGTACAATTAGGAGTGTTTACATGAGGCAAGATTACAAATGCATCCTCATGTTCTCCAGTGCTTTTTCTGCTGAGAGTCATGCCAATTCCACGAGCATTTACCAAAGCGTGGGCTATAGAACTGGTCCTATACGATGTTAATAATTATTACAGATAGAATTATTCTGTGGTTTAATAATTAGGGCAAATACTGGGTGACACAGATCAAAAGAGATTTATTATTATATACTTATTATAATCTGTAATATTATATATTTATTATTAGAATTTCTCGATGTTTTTACAGAATTTTTCAGTGTTTTTCATTATTCTATTATGCTTTTTGATCTTGAAGGCTAGAAAAGGACAGTACAGATTGCTGAAGGATGCTCTCTACATCACTCTTTTTAATGAAACAGCTTCAGACGTGGCCAGTGGCTGGAGGAACACACTTTGAGAATGCTGAGCCAGATTTCTAATGCAAGCTGCTTCTACTGAAGAATCTTCACCATTGAGGATCTGATCTGTAATTCTGTAAGATTCCTTAGAATTTGGAATGGTGGTTCTCAATCCTACCTGCCCATTAGAATCACCAAGAAGCTTCCATTATGCCAATGCCCAGGTCTTATTTCAGCGAAGTCAGGGTCTTTGAGGGAGAGGCTGGGCAATAGCAATTTTTAGGCCTCCCATGCACCAGGAATTGTGACCAGGTTGGGAATCACTGGCCAAGAAAACTGATCTCTGTCCTTAGCCAACGTTGGCAAAATTAGTAGACTACAAGGAATTTGTGTTCAAATTCGGTCACACGCATGGTCCTTAAGCTTAATTATGTCATTTGACTGCCTTGGAAGCCACCTGAGATATTAGTAAGCACATTTTTGAGTGTGTCCGGTGGGTCCAGGAAGTACGGCCTTGGAGCCATATTTGATCCCTCACCCCTTCCACTCTGGCACTGTTCCCTGCTCTGCTTTCTGGCCACCAGGCCCTTCCGCCATGATGTTTCTCCCTTGGAGCCAGCTGACCATGAACTGGATCTGCTGAAACTGTGAGCTAAGTTAAACCTCTCCTCCTTTAAATTGTGGGTGTCAGGTGTCGTGTCCCAGTAAAGGGGAAGCTGACTAATACAGCACGCTAACAATATTAACCTCTAGGGCTCTATCTGAGCTATTCACACCTAATGACACAGAGACATTATCTCGTAGGGGGCTGAGGGACCCAGGGACTGATCTTGGGAAGAGATGTGACCAGGAGCGGAGGCACTAACACAGCAATCTTTATCAGGCAGCTCTTGGATAGGTCACCCAGGGAGGGAATGAGACACCCAGAGGAGGAGGCTCAGGGAGCTCCCCAGGATAGGGGCCTGGCGGGATGGGTTAATGCGTCCCAGAGGTGTGGGGAAGGCCTTGCTCAGTGAGCAAAGGCCAGACCGGGTTGTGGTCTTGGAGCCAGCAGATGTGAGGGTGTCAGGAGCAATGCTACATCATTTGGGGGAAAATCTTTTGATTAGGCCTAGTTCTCCTGCCTACAGCCCAGCTATGGCATTCCAAGACATAATTCCATTTTGGCCTCCGGTCACAACTGAGACCTCAATGGTCTGGTGATGCTGTGATTCTCCAGGACAAGATGACACCAGCTGAAGACATCCTGGGAGGAACAAAATCGTCATCTACTCAGTTCCTCATTGTTCTCAGATTGCTACATCTTGTTTACCAGGATGTACTGAACTCTCTGCAAGTCATTTGTTACATTTGTTACATCCGTTTCTCCCGATGTACTGAATAAAAGGTGCGGTAAACGGGGGCCTTTCGTGTTTGCCGCCCAGAGCAGCGTTGATCAGGCCCAGACCTCAGCTCCTTGTCAGTCTCATTTTTCTACCTTTCCTGTCATTCGCCGTGTGCTGCCGTGGCTCGCAGGAGACCAGGACTCACTGCAGAGGTTCTGGTAACGTCCCCTTCCCCTGTTCCCTACATGAGGGGAGGTTTGAAGGGGCATGCAAAGCAGGCAGCCTTTAGATGGCTACAGACTGGCTTGTCTGGACGATCTTTAAAAGAACTGGACAGATGGGCCGGGGACGTAGCTCAGTGGTTCCGGCATCTGCCTCAAAAGCACAAGGTCCCAAGTTTGATCCCTAGTACCAAAAGAGAAAAAAAGGATTGGACAGGTAAAATTGTGGTGCTGTGGGCAGGCTCTTAAGCAGATGGGCCTGAGTTTGCAGAGAAGAAATAACCCGGGGCCAATACACAAAGGCCACTGGCTTGGCCACTTACAGGGCCGAGGGTGCAGGCTCAGTGGACAAGGCCTGATGGTTCCTCAGCTCCAAGCTCTGGGGGCTCCGGGGCCTCTGAGGTTAGAGCCAGTGCTACCGCCGACTTGGGAGACACTGCTGTTCATAGAGCAGAACGCCAGTAAGACACGGAGAAGAACATGGGGACAGGAGATGACCGACTGGCCGCCATAGCAGTAATATTGACATCCATGGACGCTGAAACCAGAGGCCGAGTGTGTGAGGCACAGTCTCGTACTCCCCACAGGGCGCTAATGTATCACAGAGAGAGAGAGACGCCGGCTTCACAGTGGAAGAGTCTGGGAGCTGATAACACCTTAACCAACTGATCAAAACTCTCCTTCCCTGAAATGACGCCTGTGGACATCGTGTGCTGCCCTCTGCGGGACACAGAGCAAGGCATCTCACCAGTTTTGCAGCATTTGCACCAAAACCGCAACCCCTGGCTTTACTCAGAGGGAACATCAGGCAAATCCAACTTACGGACATTTCACAAAATCCCTGGCCAGCACGGGACTAAGGAAAGAAGACGACTGAATCAAGGACCATGAAAGGGCTCTCATGGGCTAAGTGACAAACACTGGATGAACTCTGTAGATTATGCATTTTTCAGTGTCTTTTTCTCTTGTTTTAAGAACGATACCATGGTCACCAGCAGTGCTGCTATCTGTGGTGATGGGTGAAGGGGGAATGGAGCTTTACTATCTTTGCAACTTTTGGTAAGTCCAAAGTTACTCAAAAGGAAAGGTATTTTTTAGAACTTAATTAAAAATAATTTCCCCCTTCCTGGCACTTTAGAGATATCAGAATCAGAATTCAAGGAGATTTTCTCCCCCCTTGTTATTTGGAGATAGTTGAAGCTAACTCCAGGGTGTGCACTCTAAGAAGGCCTTCAGATGACTTGGTAGATGTGAGCTCTAGGTGACCCCATCATTAATCCCTCTGGAGGGTTTGCTGGAAGAGACATGGGAGATGTGGGGAAGGTGGGGTGCAGGAGAGGAAGGAGTGGTGAGAAAAAATTGGGGGATGACAGAAGTGGCTTCAGAAACAGTTGTGAATGGGGGCGTGAGGAAGATACTGGGAGTAGGGCAGAGCCATGAAAGATAATGAGAAAAGTGTCAATAAGGACTAAAAGGTACAATAGATAATTTGAAATAGGAAGAAAAGGGGCAAAGGGGAAGGGGAAGTGGGAGGGCTAGGGGAAAGGATAGAAGGGAATGGAAGTAACATGAGAAAAGGAAAAAATGGAAACAAAGTCTTTGTAAATAGGGAGGGATGGAGGGGTTGAAGGGAGGGCTGGGCAAGGGTGAAAAATAAGAACCAAGAGAGACTATGTCAAGGTGCAAATCTCCAATGATGAATGTCATTATATTGTACACCTAAAATGTACCAATGAAAGGATATACAAAAAAGAAAAGAAAGATAATAAAAGCTAAAAGATATTTTGCTGGTTTTATACATAGACGTTCCCCCTGGCATTGCCCGTGACATTGCTGTAGAGATGTCAACTGTTTCCTACTTTTTCCTGTGCTTTTTCTTTGAATAGTGCTCTCTGTTGAGACGCATCAGAAAGGCGCCTGGGTAGATTCCTGTTACACAGGGACACAGTCGAGATCCGGTGCTTTGTTTGGAAAACAGACCACAAAGGCATTTACCTGGGAGCCACTGAGTTTGGGTGAGCAGTCTGGGCACAGAGCCAGGGGCATGAGGTTTCCCCACGAGGTCACACCCTGGATGACCTTGTGATGCAGCCCCGGGTGCCGGCATGGGCAGTGCCCACAGCAGTGTCCAGGGCCAGGTCAGGGGCGCGTGGCTCAGGAACCCTCAGCAGCCTTTACCACCTGTCTTCAGGTGCAGAGTCCATGTGTTTCCTCCCAATCACTTTCAGCACTGGAAGCCAGAAATGAACCTGAAAAGCGGATGAATGAACACAAGTCATTTCAAACATCTCTGACGTACACTCCTCCTTGTGGGAATTTACTGATCTTAGGAAAAATACAGACTGTGAAATGGAGAGTGAAGCTTACTTTAAGGGTTTTCTTGGTTTTTCACTGTCTAGGAGCTGTTTTCCAGTTCTGTATGTTATGGATGGCTGGCAACAGCAATGCCAGGGCTCTGGTCCATGACACGCAAATGACCTTCACCCTCCAGAGAGTGAAACGGACTCTACCCAATCACCCTTGAGGAAGGAGCCAGTTCTGCAACTACTAAGCAGATTCATTTGGGATCCCTAATGACCTGTACATGTGTGTATGGGCATGTGCTTTTAATTAATCTTTGAATTGGTTATAATTATTTGACGTCATTAATAAGTAAGATAAAATCTTTGATGTGATCATTTCTATGTGTCTATGGGAGACACTGTGTGTGTGTGTGTGTGTGTGTGTGTGCGTGTAAACACAGAATATAAGCAAGTTCTTTGAAGCTGACTGAGTTGTAGAGACTTCTTTCCATTTTTTTGGTTACTCTTGACCTTGCAGAGTGGGCAGTGTTCTTTGATAGGCGATACAGAGGACCTTGCCGAACGTCTCTCTAAGGCATGGCTGAACGCACTCCCTGGAAGCCAGCACTTTGAAGGGTAGGGCGTAGGCATGTGAACCGCAAAGTCAAGAGCCCTAGCTGTGTTCATTTGTTGTTTCCCCTCCTGCTGGGACACAAGTCCTAATGTGAAGTTAAAAGAGTGCTTTAACGTCCTCTTTCCTTTTACCTTTCTAACTGATCCCAGCTTCCTTAGAAGTTGCACTCTGACCTCAGCCTCACCTTTGTAAAGTACAAATCCTGTCTCCCTTTGACTTCTCCCGGCAGCTGCTCCGATCTCTTCTTAAGCAGTTTTGCATGCAGGTATTGTGTGCGCTCCCACTCCATGCTGGGGTAGAAGGACGTGGCCACCAGGATTTTGAGTTGCATCAGGATGGAGGACAACAGGCCCAGCAGCACTAACAGCACAAGGATAACGCCGAGGGGAGCCCAGGTCTTAGACAGGAGGAACTTGGGGCTGGGCATGCAGCTGGGTTCAAACACAGATATATTAAAGGAAGAATCGTGGATGATGTCTTGAGTTCCTTGCCTCTAAAATGAAAGAATAGAACAATCACTATGCATTCGATTTTCCTGCTCAGATTCTTTCTCAATACTCCCCTGCAGCACGTAGCATTTATGTCTAAATTTGCAGGACAGCTTTGCAGTTGCGTCTTCCTGTGTGTGTTATGATTGGTGCATGGAGCAGCGTGAGTCTTGTGTGCAACCATGGAAGTGTCTTCCGCGGTGAATCTCTGCTAACATTCCTTGAAAGAGAGCACCAGCTAAGTGTCTGCTCTGCCCGGCCTGTGGACTGGGTCAGGGGCGAAAAGAAGCGAGCAGATCTCGCCACGCAATGCACTTTCATAGCTTATGCTGAGCACACATGGGCTCCATGAGAGAAGGGGCGGCGGTGAGCTCACCCTGGGCAGGGATTACAGCCTCATCCTCCTAGGCAGGACAAACCCCCTTCATCAGGCCACAGGGACGCTGGGGCACTGACCGGTGCTCTAGTCAGCCTTTGGGGTAGGGACTGTTCCTGTTCAGCATACAAGGTCCACGTGGAGGCTGACACCCTGACCCGAAGCCCACCTGACTGGTTCTCTCCATTCTTGTTGGAGGAAGTTTCTAAAATCAGGCACTTTTTCACCTCGCGGATGCTCAGAAAGGGGCCTTCTTTCCTGTTTGAAGGCAAGAGACAAACCAGTTGCCCTCAGAAGCCGTCACAGAGGGCAGAAGGTGACACTGAGTCACCAGCCTGGCCATCCTCAAAGGAAGTGCATGCTGATTCAGCTCCTTCTTGCTTTGACCTAGGAAAGTCATTTCTTCTCTCAGAGGATTTGTTTTCTAATTTGGTAAAACAGGAATTAATGTACCACATCTGCCCATGAATAAACGACTCCCAGTATAAATGAAGCACCTTAGGGACGGAGCATTAACTTTACAGACTGGGCACTTAGTAAGTTATTATCACCCAAGGGCCTCAGCCCAGCGGAGGAGGTGAATGACTTTGCAGAACAACAAAGCCAAACAAAAGCCCAGTCACACCCCAAGAAGACTGGGGACTGTGGGTGCCCCCAGGGCTGTGAAGTGTGGAGCCCCCCACCCCGGGGCCTCCTCTAGTGTCAGATCTCCACCGTGCAGAGCAAGGGGAAGCATTTGCGTTGGTTCTCTTCTCTTACTAAAAAGACAGCCAGCTGCAATTAAGAGATCTCAGCCCCCAGAGCAAAAGCGCACTCTTTAATACTCCTGGAGAAACAAACACATCAACTGCGTTGGTAATGAGCAGGCCTGCAATGAGAAAGCAGCAGGAGCTCAGGCTGGAAGAAGTTATTTAGTCTAGAAATCTACTTGGGGATTGTTTTGCAGTTGGGAGTCCGGGCTTCGGAAAGATAGAGTCAACACTTTTGTGTGGGGTTGGCTGAGGGCACCCTAGAAGACAAATTCGCTCTTTCAAAATGCCAAGCAGCATGGTGAATGGCACCACAGATTTAAACCCTGTTTACCCCTCTTAGGGAAACACCTCGCTGAGCCAGCTGAGTGATGGCAGAGGGCCGGCTCTGGTGTCAGAGCTGGAGAAGTAGAGGCAGCCAAGCGCCAGGCTCACAGTCAGTGCTCAGGAGGAACACACCCTGGTTATCTGTACGCACAGCGCCCACTCACACGATGAGCTCAACTCGGATCAGTTCTCATCTTATTTAAAACATTGAAAGTGGGGGAGAAGTATTGGCAAAGCCTTGAGCCAAGGCACCTCTTCGCGCTTGACTTTCCTTTGCAACTCTGCAGCGGCTGAGGGGAGGCTTGGGTGTCTGTCCGGACAAGGCCGGGCATTGCAGATTACTCAGAAGCTTGCTGGAGAGGGAGGGAGCTGGAAAGCCCCAGGGAAGCCTGGACCTCACATCCGTGCCCAGCCCAGCACCCTGCTGTGCACGGTGCCCCCACAAGGTCATGAGCCCCAGCAGGCCCATCCCAGGCTGGACAGGGGCACCCACGCCAGAGATCAAGACCAGGCGCCACGCACTGGACTCTCCTTGGAAAGCTGCGATTTGGGGGAGGGCAGAACTTGCTCCCCCGCTCCTGTCTAAGCCAAAGACTTCACGGAACAGGAACTGGGTATCAGCCGGATGCAATGAATGAGACAGAAGCAAAGCAAGAGGGAAGGACAGGGGGGAGAGAGAAGGGAGCCAGGAAGGAAGAAGGCAGGGGGAAAGTCGGGGAGGGCCTGGCCGCTGTGCTGGCCACCCCAAGACAGAGCCTGTCTGAGGCTCCTTCCAGTATCCACCCTGCTCCAATGTCCCGAGCCACAGGGTGCCTGGCAATTAACTGAATTCTTCAGGGGAAGCAGAGAGCTGGAGTAATCAAGAAGCCCAGGACTAGGAGAACAGGAGCTGGGGGGATGGGACCTGCCCAGCCAGGAGGAAAGGAGGGAGGACACAGCAGGAGGGCTGGAGGCTGGGGGGGGGCAGAGATTGATTCAGAGCAGCAGTCGCAGGCAGCACCCCGAGATTTGCCCAGCAGCCTCCACAGTCCATGGCAACTTGTCATAGGGGCAAACCAGATGCAGAGCGACGCTGTTAGTGTGTGCTCTGGCCGGGCAGTGTGCCAACCCAGCACCCGCACACGCACGCCCGTGCACACCCACATGCATGCACGCACACTTGCACACATATGCGCACACACGCACACTCAAGCACATGCTCCACCTGCTTAGCTTCCCTTTCTGGGGTTGCGAAAAACTAAAACAAGTGTCCAACAAGATCCAGAGCCTCTGCAGTGTCTGTGTCTGTTGTCACAAACTTCCTCAGGGAAATGGAAAAGTCAGAAGACGGGATGGAAACCCCATCCCAGGAAAGCAGTTCCTGCAGGGGACTCTGGAAGAACCACTGCACGTTCCCGCTCTGGCAGTGATGCCCCTGGGGCCAGGCGGGGGCCCCTGGCTTGGCCAGTCTCACTTTCTAGTGCCCCTGCAGGACTTCCCCAGGGTGACCACGGACACGCAACGAGATCACAGCAGGTGTGTACTAAAGTGCTTCCCATTTAAAACACCAGGAGCCAGAAAAGCCCAAGTGGCTTCTCATCTAAGAAGACCCTGGCCTGGCCACCCCACCCTGGCCAGAGCTCTCCCCCAGCGCTCGAAGAGAACCTAGCAAGCAGGACCCTGCTCTAACATCCGGCCCTGCAGTGCGGGGCTCCGCCTGGTGGCAGGACAGGGACCCAAGGGTGGAGAGACGTTGCCCTGTGGGAGGTCTCAGGTGTGGTGCTCATGCCCTTACCTCCGTGTGCAGCTGCAGGCGGACCTCCAGCCCTGGCAGGCCCCCGAGCTGCCTGCCCACTGAGCCAATGAGCCGGTACAGCAGGTAGTCCACGGCCGCGAACAGCACCCACACACAGAGGTGTGTGAGGACAGGGAGCAGGAAGAGCCCCAGGGCCCTCCTGTCCTTAAGGGTCAGACGGAGAGAGGGCAGGACAGTGTAGGTCCTCCTTTCCTTCCTGTTCAGGGGCAGGACGCAGGGCCTGTGCCGGCGCCGCTCCTCCTCATCAAACCGGACAAACTGTCTGGTGATGTAGACGTTTTCGTGCTTCCAACCTCGAGGGCCCAGAAACCGCTTCAGGAAGAGGCCAGTGCCCAGGAGGAGGAGCAAAAGCCCCGCACAGGTGAGAAGCTTCTGGCCCAGGGAGGAGGCCGCCTCTGTTGTGGTCACCAGGTGGTACAGGACGCCCAGCACCTCCCCTTTGGTGTCATTCAGCTGCGCCTCCAGGGCGTGGCTGGGGCTGGACAGAGAGACCTCCAGGGTCTGGCTCCAAGAAACAAGGTCATCAAACAGATTCGGAGGAGTGGAGAGGCCATAAATCCACTGAATGGCTTCAATGTATTTTTTCAAAAGTGGAAAATGTATGGAAAAGCTCTTTGCCCTTAGGTTGCAGGTCATGCTGTCGAGGAGACCTTTAAAGTTGTGAAAAATGTTCTCTATGTGTCCAAAGATCGCTATGCCTGTGCCAGCCGCAATCAAAGCCTTCTTCCCCTCACGCAGGCCACAGGAGAGAAGGAAGAGAAGAAGGAAGCATCGAGCACACTTGGAGCAGCACAGCAGAGCCCAGGCCACGGCCCAGCCGGCGGGGAGCACTGCGGTAGGCGGCAGGAGCCAGCAGAAGGCCGCAGAGAGGAGGCTGGCAGGAACCAGAGCTACCAGGGCGCAGACTCCCAGATGCTGGACAGAGCCCACCCATCCTGGGCTTCTTGGAAGCACATATATCTCCCAAAGACACAGGAGGGCGTCGGTGCCGGAAGTCCAGACACCCATGGCTTTGCGTCTCTGCAAATGAAAAAGAAATGAAGATCAGGAGTTGCCTGCGGGCTGGGTGGCAGGCTGATTGCCTCTCTGCCACTGGCGCAAGGCGTCTCTCAGCCCGTGAACCTGGGTGCCCCGGCGACCGCTGTGACCATTGCATGTAGCAACAGCCATGCACGCCAGCCCCACACGCACCCTAGGTCCTGTGCTCAGCCATGCCCCTCTCCCAGCACCAGGTAACAAATGACCCCATAGCAGCAGGGAGAAGGACTTGCAATGATCATCAAGGGCCCGGCTTCCCCGGCGTGTGGGAAGCGTCATCCCACTGCACGGGTGCCTGTCAGCCTCTCACTGACCACAGACGCGTGGCCGAGAAGAAATGCTTATTTAAACCACTGAAACTTGCACCAGGGCCTGTCAGGCTGCGATTGTTCGATAGAGGCCAGAGGATGATGTAATGGGTCCATGCTGGAGCAGCCCTTGACTGGGGGTAGCCTGAGATCTCAATAAGCCGCACCGCAGCAGGGTGCGCTTTAATCCTCCTATAGTTTCTGGCGCTACAATTCCACAGGGCAGACCGTGGGCCACAGGCCTCCAAACCACATGTGGAGCGGGCGACTCATCTCTGCTTCACACACCTTGCCTCTTCCTCCTCTGCCCCTGCCTCCTGCGATTCCATCTGAGATTCTTACAAGGAAAGTAAGAATACTTTTGTCCCTGAGTTACTCATCTTTTCCTTTTTCTCAGATCTGGGGTAATTAAAGTGAACTTGCCCCAAGGCTGGCAGCCTGTTAGCATTTAGATCCAGGCCTGGGAGGTTCACAGAGGGACCTGGGCTCTTTTGCAAGGCTATAAACCTGCGACTCTTCTCTCTTGATTGACATGGAACTATGTAATGAGCATCATACCATGTGTTCAGGATTTTAATGAGGACATTGATCATTTCTTAAACACTCACAGAAATCCCTTGTCACATCAAATACGACAGGGCTGGTGGCTTAATGCTGCTAGAGCCGGTGAATTGCGCTCCATGTGTCCAGGCTGGTTGAGGTTAGTGGCGGCAGAAATCAGATGGGGGAAACAGCAACGTGGGGATACACGTGTCTAAACTCTCTAGGGTCCAGCCTCCAGGCGGGTGCTTGGGTGGAACAGAAGGAAGACGGGGTGTGGGAAGCCGGCTTCGGCAGAGCAGGGCCCACACAGGAGGGCACCCCACTCCTCAGGAGGAGAAGAAATTGCAGGAGTGACCAGGCTGGGCCACAACCTTATTTCCTTCAGATCCGGCTGCATGGAGGGAGAGTTGGCAGCGCTCAGCATGCACAGTGCCCAGGGTGTGTCCCTATACAGGCAGTGGGCTCGGGGACCCCTAGCATGGAGAGGATGGAGCTCCTGCCTCTCCTCCAGACCACTCTGAGCACTTCCTGGGCTGTCACTGGGCTGGACCCCACTGTCTGGTGACGACCGATGGCCTGTGGACGAACCAACAAGCACTAATTGCCTGCTATGCTGCAGTGCGTTCTCCAGAGGAGCCTCAGCTCTGCCCTGAGCTCCTGGAGATCTGTGCCCTTTGCACTTTCCACAAGGGAAACAGGGGCTCCAAGCACACGTGGAATTCGCCAAGGCCATGCAGCGAAGCTGGCGGGGGACTCACACTGGGACTCCCAGCTCCGGGCAGCCTCTCTGGGCTCCGCCTGCCTCCATCTTTGCTTGGGTCGCAAGGCCTCACTCACTGTTTGTCCCTGGGAACACGCCAGTTTCTGCCAGGCTGGCTGCAGAGCTGACCCGAACGCCCCAAGTCTATCCTCCGTGCCCCTCTGCATCAGAACAGTTGACCCCACAAAGATCCCCTGTCTCTAATCAGCGCCCTCTCTAGCCAGCTCTGAAACACAGCAGTTCCATTTGTCCTGATTCCCCTTATGCGGCACCATCTTCTTGCTCCTGAAATATTAATGACAGGCACTGTGGGCTCATCTCCCCTTGTCCTGCCTTCTCCTTGTGCAGTGCGCTCCTCATACAGATAATTCCTCTGAAAGCAGGAAACAGATTTATGGACACATTAAAATTTTAACATTCTGCAATAAAGTGTAATATCAATTAAAGAAGGTCGATGGCTGCAATTTTGTCCTGTAAGAGGCATGTGTCTGCTCACCAAGCAACAGTTCTAACCTCATTCTGCTTGGTTCTGTGCACACACAGCTTCCTGTTTCTCAGTCCTGGCCACAGACCCGGCTCTGGGCCACTGGCCTGCCCGCCGGGGTCTGCCCCACTCTGAGCCTCCTCTCCTTGACCAAGTGGCAGGCCTGCCTGCTGCCGCGAGGCCCACCTTCCCAGGAGCCCTGACACTCCCCGGACAGAAGGGGCCGGCCAGGGCAGCCCGCCCCTTCTCCCTTCTGCTGCCGTGGACACGGAGCAACCCCACTCTCTGGCCTTCGTGAAGGCAAAGGTGGAGTGGCCGCACTGACCATGAGGTGCCTTTCCCCATCCAGTCCTTTCCCTCCAGATAAGTCAGCGAGTCAGACTCTGCACACGCTGCCGCCACTTGCTTGGTCCTTTCTCAAAGAGCTGGTCCAGCAGATACCTGGATTCTTACATTTTATCTTTGGGGCTGGAAGGGAATCTCATAGATCGGAGAGGCCTAGACATGAGCTCGGAATGAGGGACTCAGGGAAATGCAGGTGTGGACTCGGGAAGTGCAGCTGCACCTGAGGCTCTGCCTCCCAGTGAGCAGGGTGGCTGGGGAGGGCTTCGGGCGAGGGGGATCCGAGCCCAGCTATACACCCTGGCAGCGGTGGCCACATGTGGGCACTGAGCAAGCGAGAGGCCACCAGGGCCAAGGAGCTGACTCTGACTTTATTTCACTCCAACTCTTTGTAATTAAGTGACTTAGACTTAATAAATGCCTGAGGAGTATCTCTGTACTGGGGGCGCAGCTCCGGAAATTGATACCCGAGTGGTCGATCTTCACTGTTCGGGTTAAGAAAAACAAAACTCGAAGAGGCTAGGGGACCAGCCGAGGCCCGCCTGGACATCTGCAAAGCTCGGGGAGACCCAGTTCTCCAGCTCCCCATCGGCATCTCTGGCCTTTCCCAAGTCCTGCTTTAAACTGCGCTGCACTGGCAGCCTGGGTGACGGAGTCGCAGGGCCCACGCCTCTCCTGGCAGACGACAGGCGTCTCTTCTCACAGCTCACTTGAGAAACGGAAACCGAGGCTCAGCTGTCAAGGGGAGGGGTCAGACTCCAACCCTGTTTCCGTGACACTGAGCGGTCAGGACCCGAGTGCCGCAGCCCCAGGTCTTCAGATATAGCTGCCGCATTGGCGGAAATGCATTCCCAGGGTCGCAATTGTACCGCACCGCACCCTGAAATACAGGCTGGACGATGCTGGCCGGTGATGGAGCCCACCCTGAGCAAGCTGCAAACTCCTAAACTGGCTTTTCATATTAAAAGTCCGCGTCCTCCTGTTAGCCCACATGGCTGCCTGAAGACCAGCAGTCAGTGTGGGAAAGGAACTCCCCACACCACTGGTCCCAGCAGAGGCCTCAGGGATCCCTGATGCTGTGAGGCCTGGATGGCAGGACAGTAATGAAGCTGAGGGCAGCACAACTCGTACAGAAAACCTCTGTAGAGGCAGAAATTAATCTATGGGAAAACAGATTTGCCATTCATCAGCGATCTGCTCCTGCTAGGATGTCTCGTTCCCTGGTGGCTGGGACCCTGCCCGCGTCAGTGCTGTCCTCGCCACTGCTCCCTGCGCCACCCCTTACTCCTTTAAGAAGCTGTGTGCTCAATAAACAGTGGCGAGCTCCAGGAGACAGTGTCTTAGCCCGGAAAGAGCTCTGACCATCCTGGGCCCCATTTATGCATTAAGATCTCGCCTTGTTCTGATGCTGTACCCTTAGTCGGGTGATTGCAGGTCTGACCAGCCCCAACAGGCCAGGCTCTCTCCATCCTCAGGAGCCCGCCATCCCCCGGGGCACAGCCTCACTGAGCCTCCTGTGCTGGCTGCAGTCTCTTTCCAGGCCCTGGCCCCCAGGGACAAGGGACAGGGAAGGGAGCCGCCTCTCTTGAGCTGGGCTCAGGGCAGTACCAACCCCTCAGGGGCCAGGCAGGTGCTCGGGAGTGAAGGAAATAAGGAGACACAGGGGCTGGGGCTGGGGCTGGGGCTGGGGCTGGGGCTGGGGCGGTCCAGGGCCTCTGGCCCCATTTAAGTTGCAGGGATAGCAGCTGTCTGGCCAGCAGATATTTTTCAAGGTTGTTTACACTCTGTGCTACCAGATTGCCTGACTGTTTCAATGAGGAGTTGGAAATCGAGATATTCTTTTCCTTTCTTCTTCCTTCCCTCCATTTGTTTGTTTCTTTGATTGCTTATATTTTAACACATGGTCTTGCTAAGTGGCTATGGTGCCCAGGCTGGGTTCAAACTTTCAATGCTCCTGTTTCAGCCTCCCAGAGTGCTGGGATCCAGGTGTGCATCACTGCACTCTGCTCAGAAGTCTAGATGTCTGAGCTGGGTGTGTCGCACAGTGATACGCCACATGCTTAGCATGCAAGAGACCCTAGGTTCCATCCCCACTATCGGAAAAAAATAGATAAATTTAAAACCTCTGCATCTCTTTGAGTACTGTCTAGTAAGTTTAAAAAGTAACCATCAGCTCGAATGCTTTTCAAGCATGCTCCGTTTTGAGCACAGCCCCCGGGCGGCCACCTTTGACCTCTGAAGCTCCGCCTTCCCGCACCCTCCCGCCACTTCCTGCCGGCCTCCTGCCAGCCTCCCTGGATCACTGTGTCCCTTTCCTCCCTGGGCCCTCTGGAAACCACACTGCAAGCGTTTCCGGTCTCTTGCACGCAGGGCCCCTCTTTGGGGGTATTTATTGTTGCCTGAAGCTCTGTTTCATTTCCCTCTCCTGTGCTTAGAGGACCAAGCCCCTCTTGACCTCTACACTACTTCTTCCAGCAGCTTCTCCGGCCTCCTGCCCCTCTGACCTGGGTCTCTCTTCCTCCTGCTTCCACATCAGGACATTCACGCGCCCACGTGAGGACACCCCACGCGCCTCCTGCGTCCACACCCAGGGTCGGGAGTGACCCTCATGGGGCTGTGGAGGAGCAGGGCCAGCCTGGGCTCTGCAGAGCTGAGTCCATGGTCCACCTGCAAAGCGCAGCTGTTGCCACGGGCAACAGAGCAGCCGCCTCCCTGCCTACCCTGTGCACATGAAGGGGCAGGCTTCCGAGGTGTGGGCCACACACGGCTTTCTCCAGGGGACCCTACCCCTACCCTGCTCCGACCGCGGCTCTCCGAGGCAGCAGCACCAGGCTGCGTGGAGGCCACAGGCTCCCGCTCTCATCTCCATTCCCAGCCACCCTGCAGGAAGCTGACCCGCTCCTGAGCACCTCCCCGCAGCACGGCAGGATCCACTTGCTCCAGGACAAGGCCGGGTCAGCCCACCACAAGGGGGAGTAACAGTGGGCCTCCGGCCGAGGGCCAGCTGGGAGCTCTCTGGGCCGGGGTTGTGGAGCTGGCAGAGCGGCCCGCAGCTGCAGGGGGAACAGATGCCGCCTTCTGGCTGGGGGTCTGGAGCCCACGCCTGGGGCTGACGCTGCTGCCTCTCCCCACCCTGCAGCTCCCAGCCCTCGGAGCTGTTCCAAGCAGAAGCCGAGGGCTGGGCTGGAGAAGCCTAGAGCCAGGGACCCCCGAGTCCCCGCTCCTGTAGCCCTCGGCCTCCGGGATCTCACTTTAACCAGGGCAGAGTGGAGGGGCGCCTGGCAGGAGACAGCAGGTCCCCCACCGTGGGCTGAGGGTTCCGAGGGCCCCACTGGCCCGGCCGGCTCCGACAGGGAAGGGCACTGTTGCGCTGTGGGCCAGAGCTGGCTCCAGCCCGGCCACTGGGTCACTGGGAGCGGATTCCACCGCCGGCCCTGCTGAGAGGGCCAGAGGACGACGGAGGCTGCTTCCCTTCCCCTTTTCTTCCTTTCCTTTTATAAAGATCTTGCAAACTTGGGGTTTGGGGGAACTCGCAGTTCTCCCAGCTGCCCAAATAGCGGAGGCCTCTGTGCTTCTCATCCTCTTCCCTGCTCCTTGGCCCCAGGAGAGCGGGAAGCCAGCTGCCTCCACCCAGAGACTGGGGCGCGGGCGAGCAGAAGAGCACCTCGGACACCCGCCCACCCCTCACTGCTGGCGGACCCCTCGGGGACACCCTGGCCAGGCGGCTGCCCCTCCCCACGGGCCGGGTGTCAAGGGGACTTGCACCTGGCAGCCCGCCGAGCTGAGGCGTTCGTATACCTGCTTTAGGACGTCTTCCTGCTGATCCCCAGCATTGGGAGCACGGGGTGCAGGAGAGGCACTGAAGGATCCTGCAGCCGAAACCTTCCTCCAATTCCCTAATGCTTAAAAAAACCAACAGTTTAGGAATAAGATTATTCTGAAAGTTTGCTCACATATCTCTCTTAGGTTCTTCTTTGTGTACAAAAATAAATCGCCTTTCCCAAGGTTCTGCAAGTCTGACCCTAAGGGAGAAAAAAGGGAACCAGAAATGATAAAAGCGTCACACCGCCCTGACTCAGTCTCCTGGTTCCCTCCCAGAGCGACCAGTCATTCAGGCCCAGGCAGGAGGAAGCCAGGGCACCCACCGACCACGCTGGCGTTTGCCTCAGGCGGGAAGGTCGGAATCAGCTCCAGCAGGGAGACCTAGGAGGTTCTCAGACCGCAGGGAGGCAACCCCCAGCCTGCTCGACCTCTCCTCCCCTCTCTCCGCCCCTGCTCCCGGGTGGGAGGAGCTGGGCCACGCCCCCGCCGCCGCGGGGGCGGAGCCTCCCTGCAAAATGTCACCCAGCAGCTGAGCTGCAGGTCAGCACGCGTGACCGGGGGTTTGGGAAACCTCGAGACATTTCTACAGGGTTACTCCTCACCCCAGGGCATCCTCAGAAGCCCTAGTCTAAAACTCCCTGATCCTGCCCAGGCAAGCGCTCGGAGACCCCCGCCCTGGACGTCGCTTACTGACTGCAACAGCCCTCCCTGGATGAGTGGAAGTCCGTAGAAAGTCCAGAAAACACCAGGTAACCCCCTCAAAACCATCACTCAGGTAAAAACGGACACATCTGAGGACTTTTCAGGACCGACCCACACCTTTTACAGCTGCTTCTGATTGGAGTCTTGCTTCATGAACAAAATCCGGTAAGCTCAACAGTGCAAGTAATTCCAACCCTGAGAGCACGCTAGCTCGCTTCTCCCTGGGAACATGGAAGCATTGTTCAGCATGATGCCATTCAGTGCAACCCAGGTAAATCACAGCCAATCAACAAACTATTGCAATTCTACCGAATTCATAGGCCTGGAGATGTGAACCTTAATCAAATCTAACTCTGGACTTAAGCTTTGAATGTATTAGAGGAGAAACAAGTGAATAAGTACGAGAGAGGGGGAGTTTGGGGCAGTTGCGTGGAAGAGGGAGAAGGTGTGTCGGGCAGAGTCGTGCAGAATGGACATGGACTGGAAGGGCTGCAGCGCTGTCCCGGGGAAGCTGACTCAGAAGATGCATGTGGGAGCTGAAAACAGACTGAGCCCCAATTTGTGATC